GTATTTTTGGCAGATGATTGAACATGAATGGAGATTTTCTTTAGAATGAAATGTACCTGAGGCAGTTGCGTAGCACACTAAAAATGGCTGTTAAGAGAAACTTTCATAATGCAGCAGATATTATATTCATTGTATATTACAAACAAAATCAGCTTTCTAATCTGCAGACAATGAGGGATCATTGTAATCCGGAAGAAATAATGTAAACCAAAAGTATTCAAAGATATTGTTCAGAAGGACAAATGCATTCGTGCATCTGGCCACAAAGCCTTGTGAGTTTATGGGCAAATCAGATACCTGCTTGGCATAAACATATTCTTCAGTAGTTCCTGACAGTTTACAAAATTACCAGCCTTCTTAGGCGGTTCACTAATTTTACCATCCATCCTACTTTTAAAAATTTGGGAACTGCCTTTGTAGACATTTACTGTTGGATTCTGTGTCAGATGGCAGTCTTATCTTCTGGTCTTTAAACAGTTACTGATACGTTGGCAGATTCAGGATAAAGGGGAAAAGGTGGAAAAACTCTTAAAAGTAAAGACACTGAAATAAAATGTTCCATGTTCTTATTTTAGCAATTTGAGTTGTCAAAATTGTCTGTCTTGGAAATCCAGAACCAAGCTACAAGCCCTTAATGCAACTTCTTTCCCCTGTTTTGTAGGGGTTTTGTTTGTTTGGGTTTTTTTATTATTATTATTATTATTATCCTTGGAAAATATGACATTCCCCCTTTCCTTTTGTGCATCTGTTCAAAATGTTATTTTTAAAGCTACATCTTTTCCATCATCGACTTTTCCCTCTCTGTCAGTGATGATTCACTCTCTACAGGAGTACATATCAAAATCCCTCTTTCTGTCATACAGACAAATGTCTTCCTTACTGGTGTTTGTTTAATTTTGAGACTTTCAGTGTATGTGGAGCATTACAGTCCCTTACAACACTGTGGTGCTTGAGGCGCATGGTTTCTGGAGATTCTGCACAGCGGGCACAGCTCTTTGCAAAGAATCCTAGATTTAGTAGGTTGCACTTCCAACATTGTTTTATTTAAATTTTCTTTTAAATGAATTCGTGCTTTCCATCTTTCCTTTGGTTACTCTCTTTAGCCGTTTGTGTTCCCCCCCCCCCCCCCAGCCTCACAGCCTTGTTTTCCCTTAACATCTCCAAAGCACTGAAAAGGATAAATAGTAGCTAATCTAATCTCTCCGCCCTCTCGTCTGCTTTAACAAAGCTTTTAGCTTCCCCTGTTTCTCTTCTTTGTTTTCTTTACCTTTCTTTCCCTTCCCCCTCCAAAATACTCACCACTTCTATGTAAAAGAATTGGTCGAGCTGCAGCACAACATGCAATCATTGTGACTTAATATATAAAACCTTCTGAATTTTCCAGCTGTACCTGTGCATCATTGTACCAGACTTGTACCTCCTGTTGCAAAATACGTGTATGGACAAGAAAATAAAGAGAAAGATATTTCAAGCTTTCTCTTTCTGATTCCTGACAGAATTATTTTCTCTATTTTAGCAGAGTAGCCTAGTGGATGAATACAAATGCTCTGTTATGTTTGGTATATTTTCTAGGTTTTTGTTCTTGCTAATGACTGAAAGTTTGTAAATTTTTCTTGTCCGTTTGGGCCACCACATCCTTGAATCAAGAGGACAGGACCTTAAGCCTCTTCTAAGGCCGCCGCTGCTTCTGCTTCTATCTGCTGCATGCTGATTCTCTCTGATAGGTCCAAGTGTGCCAGTTTGGCAGTGTTCCCAGTCACTGTCAATCGGGTCTCGGTTAGCACAAAGCATTGACGAATTCAGTGTATTTAGTTTTGCTCCCTTGCTGTATTTATAGGGATTAGGATTTTTTTTTTTAATAGAATAATATTAGAGTAGAGCAGTCAAAGGATGAGCATAAATGTAATGGCTGAGCATCCTCACTTTTGCAGCATTGAGGAATCAAAATTTGGATGTCTGTGTGTTGAGGGTGATACCCCTGAGTGGCACAGGCCTTTAGGTATGCAATTGAAAAGAAACCTGTCTTGAATGGTTTGAACTGTTCAAACTGATGCCAGCATGCACTTGAATGTCATGCATTTCCAGCGTGTTCTTGCTGCTGTAGTGGGCTTTACGATTCCCTTTATAGCAGCACTCTCTCTAGTTTCTGTTATGTTCCTAAAACAGAACAAACTGCCAGTGTGATCCACAAGCCTTCCTGCTCCCTACCCTGAAAAACGTTGCCAAAGCTAAAAAGGGAAAATGTTTCCAGCAGGGACTCCAGAATTACTTATGAGATGAGAATTTTTACTCTGGGCTGTTGATCTGCTGCTGCAGCCTAAAACGCAGGAATACAAAAAATGTAAGCACCGTGATAGATAGGATGGTCTGGCAATTTTCCTGTGACAATGGTATCTCAAGAAACAATCTGAATGCAGTATGGGACAATGCAGAGTAGGATTAGTGATTGTGCTGAGTTGCATAGTCATGAGTCACGTCGGCTCTCAAGGAAAGAGGTTTGCATGTTAAAGTAGTTGTATCCTGAAAGTTGCTGGTTGGAGCTAAGGGAGGGCATTAGTTTTATTTGTGGTGGTTGCTTTTGAGATCTTTAGCACTGAGTAAATGCAGAGTGAAGTGCATATTCTGTCTGCAACTGGCCTTGATTTGTGGGAGGTCTTGCGTGCTGTATTGGAAGAATGTTTATTTTGCTTTGGTTCTTTTAGCTCATTAATATTTTTTTTTTAATATTAAATCTCTCCCTCTACAACTCCATTTACTTGTTGTTTTTTTTTTTTTTAATCAATCCTTTGATAATATGCAATATGCTTCAGAATCAGCTTTTCATCTATGGTTTCGGTAGTAATTTGTTGATGACAATAGAATGATAACGCTGAGCTACCTCATCCAGATACAGAAGTCTGAGCAGAACTGTAAGGGCTTGTTGGGGTCTTTCCAAGGATTTGACCTTTAAAATCTTCATTTGGAGTTAAGAATTTCTTCCTTCCTAGCATAGCGATAAATCCTCCCACTTTCACTGCATTAGGGAAGAGAACTGAATCACATTTTCGAATCAAATGCTTAGGAATTGGCCCAAGATCAAACTGGTTCCCTACCCGCCGTTTTCTCATTTTGTTTCATTTACAGAATTTTAGCACAAGATAAAAGGCCAAGCGGAAAAAAATCTGAAAAACTACATTGATGTTTTTGTGAAAGCAGACGCATAACTTGCCACGTAGAGAAATCTACGTCTTTTCAGGGCCTGTATGGCACCTTAGAACGCGCCGAGCCCTACAGGGTTAACAGGCAGGAAGCTGCAGCTGCAGCCGGCTGAGACGGAAGTCAGATTTTTGTGTAACGGGCGGCCCGGGCGGCCGAACGGTGCGGCGGGGGGGCCGGGGGTGGCACCAGGGGTGGCACCGGGGGGTTCGGGCGCGCTCCGGGCGTTTGGGAGCGGGGAGGGCAGGCGCGGGACGGCAGCACCCCCTCTGCTGACGCGGTTCCCAGTGCAGAACCGCTTCTGTGGGAAAGAGACACTGAGTTTTTGCTGTTTAAGGACCGGCTTATCATAGTATCTAAAGAAATCACACTGTCGTTACATGGTTGCTACGGTAGGTGTTCATGTATTTAAATTCTGGGATAGCAGAATTCCGTCAGAGTTTTCAGTCACTAGTTTCAGTCCCTCCCGTGTGCCTCCACTTTCGGGGTGTTTTGCTCTGTTGCCGTGGCCTCGCCTTCTCCGTGCAGCCCACTGCAGAACACCAGCGAAGTGACTTGAGCTTTTTGTTTATGAAGAGCAGCTTTTGTGACCTGCGTGAACTCTCCCTCCCTCAGGTCTAAAACACCCAAACGCCTTCAGTAATGGCACGTTGAGACGCGTTTTCTCCGGCAGGCAGTTTGCAACCACCTCCCTCTGTTTGAAAATCTGTGTATTTTGCACGGGGAGCGCTCATCTGGGGCTTCTTTTCCCGTTTTTCTGGGGAAGGGGCCTAGCTTAGCCTGTCTTCTCTATGCACAGGATGGCTCCTGCTTGCCAGAGCTGCACAAAGATAATCGCTCAGGAAGTGTTTCGGCCAATCCCCTGAAGCTTTACATTCAGATTTAGCGGAGCAGCCAATCCGGGATTAGCTCTTATTGGGCAGACAGATCATCAAGCTGGAGTGCCAAGCCCTTTCTGCCTGAGTACTGAGAGCCTGTCCTCCATGTTTTATAAGTATTGACATAACACTGTGTTAACAATGCATCCACAGAGGTAAGCCTTACTTTTTACATTTTTTTTTCTCTAGGACCTATGAGTTGTGGGTTGAGAGTGTGGTTCTCTGTGATTTGTTGTGCAAAACTCACACCACAGCACTTTATTAAGTTGGAACTGTTTAAATTTGCTTTCTTGGGTCACATGGTTAGTAGCCATTAGCCACAGCTTTATTTTGCAGACTGGCAAAGCCTTGGCATACCTGCTTCTTCACAGGAGGATGGTGTTTTTAGAGTTGATCAAGATCCTGGTATTCCAAAGAAGCTTTCTCTCTCTGAGCAGTTTGCCAGCACTATTGTCTGTTGTGTCACATGCCTGCTGGAGAGAAAATGGAAGCTAGGGAGCAGATGCATTTAACTGCCCTACAGGGAGTCAAGCAGGGATAATGGCAGACAGAAGAACAGGCAAGTTCACCTTTCTACACAGTGAATGGGTTAGCTAAGATAAGTTATCTCTGAGAAAATATGGGATTTTTAAAAACCTAGACATCAGCAAAAAGTGCTAATGGCAGATTGTAGATATTGGGCCTAGGTGGTGGTGTGCTGTTGCATCATGTTTTTTGTGCAGCTTATCTTAACTTAAAATGATTATTGAGCTTTTTGTTCTTGCAGGAGTAATTAATACAACGTGTTTCTCTTTCTGAGGGACGATGTATGGTTAATATTTTGTTCCTTTAAAAGGGAGTTTTTATGCTGCAGATTTTGGAAATGGGTTGCTGCTCAATAAAATACAGCAGTGCATCTGTTTACAAATCTGAATCTTTATGGAAAATGTTTTTGAACTGTTAGCTTGCTTCTTCTAAATAGTTCAAATAAACTAACGTACCTTTTATCTGTGCCTTTTTGTTTTACACTGTATCAGTCACAGTTCTGTGTTGTGGAGTCCAGAGGATATAAAATCATGTGTGGTTCATGACAGTAGTACATGTTGTTCTTTCTTGTTTTTTGTCCTTTTTTTTTTTCTTTTTTTAAACTTTTGGTTTAATGCTACGTAATTATTTCAAGAAATTCCTTTTTGATCAATTCCCAAATCTGCCAGCCTGTTGTATCTTCTTAACTGGAAAAATGAGATGGGTGCTTGAACAGTTGGTAAGTAAGCAGCATGCTACTCTCTGAACATTTTTAATAGTTTTCCAAACATTTTGTTTTTACTGGGTCAGTTAGTCCAGTAGATGAAGTAATGTTAGCGGTTAGTCATATAAAAAAATTAGATTTGTTTAGCGTCCATTTTAAGGAACTTGTACATGTAATCTGTTCCAATTTGAATGCACTATTTTTTTGATAATTTGCCTCTAAAGTTTGAAGCTTATACTTCCTGTTTTCCTCAGGCCAGTGAAAAATATTCTACTTCGTGTTTTTTCATAGATCAATAATTGTCATGTTTGTAGGGTAAAGCGCGTTTTTGTTGTTCCTTAGGCTTTTGAGGTGTGATGAAAGTGCTAGTACTCAGCAATGAAGTGACCTTATGAAGTAAATAATACTTAATGAGCATATGTTTCTGATGCTATACAAAGTATAATCTCAGACAAACTTGCGTGATTTATAACTAATTTAGAACATTTTGTGCCCTTTATTAAGATTTTAATTGTAGCGCTTCCGTGCTTGTTTTAACAAGCTGTTTGTCAGTGATCACCAATGTTACAAAAGCAGAGGAAGGATGCTCTTTTGTGCTTTTAATACAATTTTTGCCCTTGTTTTAGCAGTCCACACACATTCACGATTTTAGGAAAGAACTTAGAGCTAAGCCAGGTTTGCAAATGACTGCACTGAGGCACAGTTACATGATAACTTTTATAGAAGGTTGCCATATATTTGATAACATTCTGTAACGTAGCAGTTTAAGCAATTTACTTCTGGTTACTTGTTTGCCAGTATGAGTATCTTAACTTCGAACATCTCACTTTGTTTAACAGCTCCCCCCAAAAACCCCCTCCCCCCCCCCAAGGATTAAATTAAAAGAATGGCTAGTTCAGTTTGCAACCTGAAACACTGCTGGGGTGTACCACTGAGTTTTGTGTGGCAGCATTTTTGTATGCAATTTTAATGCGTTTTTCAGCATACGTTAAAGTGCTAACACAGCTAAGAGGTTATTCTGGTTTTTGTTCTTTGGTTGCTAAAAAGAGAAATTATATTTGAACATAATTTTCCTAGCAGCAGCTTATACACATTAGCAGTTTACTTTCAGTCTTAAAAAGCGCACAACATAATATTTGTTTAATATGAGGAAGCAGGAGTGGGTGATCTGCAATCAGAAAGCTCGTATTAAAATGGCTCCCACAGGTTTTGTTAAACCAGGATCTGTTTCAGATCTGCACCTCCAGACACGCCGCTGACAGCGAAGCGTGTTTGTTTAAGCTGCCCTTGCGCGTGTAATGAAACGTGGCACTGTGAGTCTGTTAAAGTTCACCATTTTTAATTGCTCAGGTATAATTCTTTCATAGTTCACAAAAACTAAATGTCTGCATTGCAGCAAGATGTCTGAGGCAAGGTAGAGACAGCAGTGTTGTTTTACAGCTCAGCAAATCGCGCTGCTCCGAGGAGTGCTGGAGCCAATAGAAGCAGAGGGTAGGTTAAAGATCGACAATTGCAGTGGCAAGACTGAGAAAGGCCTTCTGGAAATTTCTACCATCTTTGTTCCATCTCAGTAAAGCAAATTCAGCCAAGCTGAAGAATTTCATATGTTTTTGGTGCTTTGTCAAGGTATGATGTTATCACTCACTTTCATAGATTGTGTAATAAGAAGCACTCTGTGCCGTTTTTTCTGCTGTTCAGGACAGATGGAATGTGGGGTTTTGTTTAAGTGATAGACGCGGGGAAAATGCACGTATTCTTTCTACCCAAGATTTTACAGAACTGGATCCGGTATGAAGCAATGCAGCTGAGGTTTATTCAGCTTATAGCAAATGGCCATTATTCTAATGTAACTAGCAGTTAATCGTATAATTGCACTTTAAGTTTTCTGGCTACTAAAGAGTAATTTGAATTGCCCAGGATGAATATGATTAGCCATTATTATTTGGTGCCAACATTTGGTTACTTTTGTAATTAGCTGGACAAAGAATGCAGTGGAGGAAAGCAAAGGAGTGATCTGGATTATAAATTATGATGAAAACAGTAGCTTTTTAAAAGCTACATGCCTCTCTCATTCTTTGCAGACAAACTGTTTTAGTTGGAAGCTAAATAGTGCTAGGGAAGACCTAAGTGGTTTCTTTAAACAGATGACAGTGCTTAACAGACTGAAGATGAAAAAAGTGCAGAGTATTAACTGCTCCAAATGTGACATTTCTCCCCCTCACATCAGGCAGAAGTATTGAAATGTAGGGGAAAACCTACATTGCTGCTAAGGAAGCATGTAATAAAAGGAACTTAATGCTCAAAAATCGTAAATAGGTAGATTACATTACTAACATAGCCCTTTATATCAGAGTCCACAAGCTTCGATTGGCTTGTCTTCCTGACCTGTCTTCCATTTTGTGATATCTTTGTGTTGTTTTTTTTGTTTTGTTTTGTTTTTTCTCTTCTCTCTTTGTTTTCAAGCCTATTGGCCATGTGGATCCAGTAGCCAAAAAGTGATAGGTCATGATCAGTTTTCCATAGTAGTGGTGCCACTCCAGCATAATTGGTTAAAGACTGATAAATCTCAGTAAAAGCTCTCCTCTCCTTTGTCTGGAATTCAGGGGTTTGATTCGGATCTCCTAAGTATCCTGGAAGTTGAACATAACCTTTGCCCATGTAGAATGTAGTAGACAGCAATTTTCAAATTTTGTTATTGTGGATCCCTAGTATTTTTCCAATGGGCACGTGAATCCCATTATAGTGTACTTAAGCCTGTTAGCCTAGGTTTGATTTATTTAGTTATTATCTGCAAACCCTGTAGTAGTGGTACACTGGCTTTGGGAGGTTTGCAAACCAGAGACTGAGTAGGCCATCAGGCTTTGCCCTTTAAATTGTATTTAGAAAGTATTTTAAATATATTTATTAATAATCATGTCTTGTATTGATAGGTTAAAGTCTAATTTAGAAATAGCTACATAGGAACTGAGTTTTATTTATTTATAGTTGTCATTCTTATGTTAACTCTTTGTTGCCCATTCTCATGGCACCTGCGTTTCATACTGTGAGATTAAAACCATGCTGTAGCAGGATGTTAGTGTCCTTAATTTAGCCAGTATAAACCTTTACTTTCAAACATGATTGTTCTCAAATTATGTTTTTAGCATGTGAAAGCTATAGTTTTTCTGCTTGCCTTGCTTGGGCCTCAGCTCTATAGTTTGTAGTCTTGAAGAAGACGATATGACACCAAGGATCTCCCGTCCTCCCCTGATTTTCTCTTTTGTGGAACTATTTTGAATGCACACTGAAGAAGAATAAGGTTTTAAAAAGAACCTAAATGTTCTTTAAATTAAATATATATACATATTCACTTTGCTTGTTATCAGAGGTAACTAGCTTAAACCTTGCTGCATGTAGATATTTGAACAAGCATTTTCTGTGTGTCAATTGCTTAACATAAATCGAGCATTTTGCAGGGAATTCTGCAAAAGTAAATGTGAAATACGAGGCATTCAAACTGGAGAGTGAATCTAAAATTGAGTGGTTTCTTTAATAACCTGTGACTTCACAAAACTCCCTATCTTGTGCCTTTATATTTAAACATTTGGATGTCAGGTGTCCTTTTGTCATACTTTACCATTTCTGATATTTAGATGCTCGCTTCGAATATAGCACTGCTGCTGTTTAAACAGGAGATACTGTTATTGAATAAACTGCTACCATTTTAGCTACAGTACAGGAATGAGGCAGTGCAGTGCTGTCAGACGCCATTTTAAGAATCCTGCATAAATAGCATAGCTACCGATGAGTAAGAGACTGTTATAGGTGAGTGCTCATACAAAGCTGCTATTTATTCAGCAATGGCATGCAAATATTTTTTTCAAATTTTTATTGAATGCAGTTTTTTGAAATCATTATTTAGAATTGCTACTCACAAATGTGATACAGGAGAGGCAGGAATTATCTTAAGGATGAAATTCAGTTTTAGTGCTTGTAGTCTTAGATCAGGGTTGGTTTTTTTTTGTTTTATTTTCTAATAATTAAAAGGAAAAATGAATTCCATAAATATATAGTTCTTGATTTTAAATTACTGTGTTTATTCCCTAATGTAGATCTGGATTGTATGTGTGGGCATTAGCTGTTTCGAGTGATTTTCCATATCTGTCAGTTTTTCTTGGTTAAATGTCAAGGTGCAGTAGTTCATCTGCAACTTTTAATTGCTTTTTGTAGTTAATATAGGTTAGAGCAGCTTTAAGTATTTTTCTATATGTACTTTTTTTCAGGTAAGTACTACTACTAGTACAGGATGATTTTCCTAAGCAGAAAAGTCAGTATTTTATTTATTGGTCTAAAATTTGAAAAACTGATTTTCGTATGAAAATCCCCACTCTCTCTTCAGTTTAGTAGAGAACATATTTAAGAATTAGGCAGCTATGGTCTTTTTGCATTTTTACCTGGGCATCAATAAATCTTGTATGCTTGCAGTCCTTATATTTTTTTCTTTCTGTCCCCAACTATCCCCAAAGGAATAACCTTCACCTCTTCTCCCCTCATTCAGACATGCTAAAATAATTGTATGAAACAAATTAGTGTTTTAGAAAACAATTTCTTCTGTGTTTTTTTTTTAAGTTTTGTCAATACGAGTAGAGAAGTTTTAATTGATTAATTGGTGTTCTTGTCAATTGGCAGTGAAACTGGCAAAGCTTAAATTTCAGTCTTGTTCTTAAAATAAGTTCCTCTGTGTTCATTCATCTTAATGAGGAAATAAGAGTAGCTTTCAGAATGACATAAGGTATTTATTGTATTCATATAGGTACTTAATTGGGTATATGCCAGTATCCTTTCTGATCTGCAACCTCAGAGCATCACATTCATAGTACACATGCATGATAGTAATGCATGCTATCTGAAATAACAGCCTTAAGCCTTGCAAAAATGAATTCTCAGAATAAAACTCTCTAGAATAGTCTATGTGATCACACAGTTATTGTTTCCATAAAACTAGATGCTTGTTTATAATTATTTTGCTGCTAATTTTAATTTTATTTTGTTGTGGGTAATAGTAAGGTACCTGTCATTAAGGACCTGTTTTTCTTGAATTATTCAGTTTGAAATATTTTGCTAATTAAATTTCTGCATTTTGATGTTTATGCTTTATAAAGGATTTTCAGAATATTGCTTATATTGATGGAAGATGCAAAGATGAAAAGATTTGTCAGCTTTCGAAAAGTTACTGTAAACTTGCTGTGAATTGTTAGCATGTATTTTCAAACTTGAGTCTTAAAGATTACCACTACAATCATCACTGCCACCATTCAAACAATGTCATGTTGTGCAAGTAATAATACATTACAGCAAATAAAACAATGGGAGATGCTTCTGAAGAGCTGTGAATTTGAAGTATCTTTTATAGCTATGTCTAATATGCTTATTTAACTGTTCCTTCCCAACACTTTGATTTTTTTTTTTTTTCAGAACAATCTTGGTGATTTTCTTACGTACTTAAATGTTTGTGCCCTTAAAAGGTTGAGCAAGATTAATTATAGTAGAGAATATGGAGATGCAATCTGTTCCTCTAAGGCTCAGTTTTCATAGTATAGTAGATAATTACTGAATTTTGGGTTAGTTGTGGGTAATGCACAGTGTGCATATGTGTGTATAGGATATAGGCACCTCCATTGCTAAAAAAAAGAGCCTTTATGTCAAGTGGTGAATGCATTTTTGACTGTTCATTTATACTTCAAAAGTTCGAGAAAGCTGTCTTCAAGCATCTTTTATGTGATGTGTAAGAGATGATGAGTCAAGATACTTTGTTCATCTTGGAACTGCTTATGAAGAACATTTCTCTTGTTGATACAGATCTGTTAAAAGAACACTGAAAAAGGTGATGAAGGAAACTGGCTGAATTTCCTAAATTAAACTCATTAGATGGAGGGAGACAGATTTAGAGCTGAAGAAGCCGTGTACGCTGTAACTAACACGCAGGAGTCCTGACGAGTGACACCCCCTCGGTGCTAGGTTTGGGCCCGCATGTGCAGAGCATCTCCAGCCCGCTCTGTAACTTCTCTCCTGCCTGGGTCAGGGATGTCAGAGCAGTTCCTGCTACTGTGTTGCTGTATTGGTTTGTCACACCCATTTCTCAACCCTGTGTCTTTTAATATTGACTTGTACCAACTACTGTGTCTTTCTTGCATCATGTTACCCCGAGGTTGTGATTTGAACAAAATGGCGCCTGATAGAGTGGAATGATTCTGGAACGTTATGATTGATTTAATGGAACTTAAATGTGAGTCACTGCTAAAAGCGTATTACTCTTTTCCTCCCTTCCCACATGTGATTCTTTCCCATTTCCTCTTTTCTGCATGTCCAGCTGCACAGTGAGCTAGATCACAGATCTGGTTCAGTTAAAATGAACATGATTTCTGGAACATGAGGTTAGGGATTGGGGAAACCATTCCTTTTAGTAGCAACCTGTGTAAAATGATCTTAAGACTTCAACCTCAGTCTCATGAAGACTTGTATGTCGTAGTCTGTGGCTGAAACTGGCTGTATGTTTTAAAACCAGGTGATGTGTACTGCCAAATTACTTCACTCTTGACAGAATTAGTGTGTATTTACATATTTACCTGTGTGCATTATTAATGGTATATACACGATGTTTTAAAAATATGCTTTTTTGTTACAGTTTGGTGATATTGAAATAGGGTTTTTTTAAGGGGGAAGGGGAAGAAAAAACAGTGCAACATGGGAAGAGAACAATGAACCCATCCCATGAGCCCATCCCTTCCCATTGCTTAGGAAAGAGAATGGGCAGAGGCAAGTGGTGCATGAAATGTTTTGGTGTCTGCAACACACCGCCAGCTCCTCTTTGCTGGAGGCCCTCTGCGAAAGGGTGTAACAAATGTGCAGTATAATTGATCTACCACGCATGGTAAATCGATGAGCATTGTAGTATGGTCAACTATGCTGTGCATTTAATCTGCCTGTGCAAAATTAATCTGAGAAGCACTGTGCTACAGTCAACTGTGCTACACATTTACCATAATTCTGGTCATGTGGATGCCTTTCCTTGCTACTGAAATTAACAGCATAGTCCACGAGCTAGGAGATTTGATGCTGGTAGAATAGAACTTCTCTTCAGTGTTTTATGACTTTAAAGAGCTTAATTTGTAAATTAGTGCTATATACAAATGCCAAGTAAAGAATATCGATTTCCGGAGTTCACAGATCTTCTCAGCTTTGGGCCTTCTATACACTGAGCTTGGTTAATTTTTATTTAAAACTTTTGCTGATATAACTGTCCTGTTTAGAGGTGTGAAAGGAATTGCAACCCAACCCCCAGTAGCTGATAGTTGATTAAAAGTAGTTTTGACAAACACCAGACTGAAAAGTCCTTCTCCTGGTAAGTTTTACTTTGCTTAGGAAGCTGTTTTAACTTATACCAGTAACAAAACTCCTGCTAATATAAACTGTTTGTCAGGCTGAAGAGTTTCCTTGATATAAATGTAACCAAGTCCTCAGTGTTGTTTGCAAGCTCTGATTAGCTGTCTCTGGCAGATTTAACCACAGTGTCTAAAGCAAAGGTTTCTAGCTATCCTCTTGGCCTCTGTGGTAGAAATAGCTGTCCCTAGAGCTGGGATGGCTGAATGCAATCTCAGTCCACTCCAAAGCAGCACTAGTTCACGGTCTGCCATATCAATGTAAAATGGTATCAGCAACAATTTACATCAACAGACTAGACAGTAGGTCGTCACTACAGAGGAAAAGATGTATGTCCTGCTTGGCTGTTGTGCTCTGGTGGTATTAAAGGACAGCTCTGATATCTGCTTCAGGCACCATGACCTCATTTGTCTGCCATTTCAGATTTGAGCTTGTTTCAAGATCATGTGTTTTCTTTTATCTTTCATCTGCAATAGTCAGATATCAAAAAATGGTGTGTAACTCAATATTCATTCTGGTTCTTTCTTCCTCTCTCTTCCACCTTCCTTCCCTGAACTGACTTAACTAGCCAAATTCATTGAGTTATTTTCTTAAACGGCATCACTATAATAAACTAGAATATCAGCAAGTCAGATATAGCTTGTCATCTACCTAATAATTTAATCCTGCCTGAAGTGAATTAAAACTGCCTATGTACGATTGAATGGTTGAATGATAGTAACAGCTCTGTTCCGATTACTCTTTGCTGTAGTTAATAATTAGTGGAATTGTATTGCCAATAAATTATAAATATTCAGTTTTCTGTTATGTAGCCTAGTTTAAAAAAAAAGTTTTTAAAATTGCATGCTACCTTCTAATTTTGTAAGCTGGTCTGTGTTGCTAAATCTGTTACTTCAGCTAATCTGTTCACTGATGCTGGTGAGTGTTTAAATGTTAGCAGGCATCTGTGCACACAGTTTATAGAGGCCTTAGATTAGGAGCTACAAGAAACAGAATTCCTGCTTGGCTGTCTCATAAAATTTATACATATAGTGACATGATGTTCAGTACGTGTTACAAGAGTCGTTAGTACGAAAATGTTACCTTTGCAATTGGTAAGGTGCAGCATACATGTATACCTGGATTGTTTTTCTACATGTTTTGGTCAGTGTATACACTGGCAAACAGCAAACCTTTCATTTCATTAGAAATTTTAATATAGTTGTATTTGACAGTGTTATGTCCAACTTCTGTACATGAAGTTAGTCATGGGAATCATACAATCTATAACTGTTCTAATTCACCTTTTTGAATCCTGCAGCTTGGCTGAAGAGGAAATAAAGGCAGAGCAGGAGGTGGTGGAGGGGATGGATATCTCAACTCGATCCAAAGGTGAGTAAGAAGGAATATTTAATCTATGTTCTGCAACATACAAATATTTGTAAACCAGAATAGTGAAACTGTGTAATCTACCATGAAGCTGCTCTTGAGTGAAGACTCAAGACTCATTGTATTTTTTACAATGACTATTGTATGTTAGAAAGTGGTTTAATTTTGGCTTGGTTTTCATTATGTCAAACCTTCCACCCCCCATTGTTATTTCTGGTTTATGAATAACTAACCTAGGTTAAATGATGAAAAAACATCAGCTTTTTGTATCATCTTACTTATCATGGCTTCCTTTAAAGTACTTTTAGATGCGTAATGTAGGAGAAAATAATAGTAGTAGTAATAATAATAATAAGGTAGTATTTCTTACAGTAATGAATCCTAATTTTCTGAAGACTAAACATAGTAACATTTCTGTTTCCACAAAAATTGGTCCCCTGAGCAGTATGTATTTCATGGTCATTTATGTATCCATCCTATTACCCTGACATGAATTAAATTTGGTGATGCAATTGCAGGTGACTGAGAATTTCTGTCCTGTTTTTTTTGAGTTTTCCCTGTTACTACAGCAAATGATATTGTCTCTCAGTATAAAGCAAGCTAAATATGTAACCATCTATATCAGTGTAAATATTCCCACTGTCATTTGGAGCACTGGGACAGAAATGCCCTTCAATCAGAATACTTGCACATAATTGTTTACTCCAGTTCATTGTAATTGACTGCCAGCTGCCTGTCCATCTCCTTTTTACTTGTAGCTGGCTTCGCAGCTCAGTTTACTTGAAAGTCATTTCTGTAAAATGACAGCAATGGTTACAACCGTCCTTCTTAAATTCTGGCACGTATCCACTTCACATTTCTACTACAGAGGTCATAAGTCTAGTTAATTCTGAATGTGCAGATATCTTGAAAGCGTGTCACAGATCATCTGCATTCCTTTGTTTTTTGGTGAGGTAGCTTGGGTAGATAACATGATTCTAAAGTTGCGTTTGGGTCTTATTTGTGCTAATGGACAGTAAATTTCTTGTTTCAGTTCTCATGGTATGGTTAAATGAGATAGTACGTATGATCTGACAGCCCAGTAGAGATTCACTTGCTCCTTTTGCTCCTTCTCCCTGTCCTTTTCTCCTTACCCTGCTTCTGGTCTTGCATGTCAGTCTTCATCACTGGACTGCTTTCAGTATTTACTGATCTCTGTATTTCAGTTTTTTAAGCCAACAGAAAGTGAACTGGTTTCTGTTACTTTAATGATTGCTTCTGAATAGGGTAAGCTCCCAGCTTTGCCCACCCACTGTTTACTTCTTTTGTAGTGCTTGTCAGATTCCAGCCACGTTTTTTCTGCTATTGTAGTGACCAGTTTGTTTGTGAAAGAGTTTGGTGAGTATGAGGACTCGATATAAGAGACAAAGGGGTTTATTACATGCATTTAGCTGCCCATGAAATCTCACCTTCATTTCTCCTTAGAAAGACTTTGGCCCACATATTAGTACTTAAAAGGATTTCAAATGCATCAAGTGAGCTAAACTGTTACTTATGTCACTCTGACATAGTCAATGTCTAAAAGGCATTTATGAGTCTGATACATATTTATGTAGATGTCTGCATTTTGATTATGTTTTTTTACTCATTGCAGAAACAGATGTATGGTCCATACACAAAGATGCAATTCCCTTACATTAGTTCCAGTGCTAGTCTGAGCTCAAGGTGTACTGTTTCAATGAATTAAGCCCACAGGAAACCGTTTTTTTTGGTTGGGTTAAGATGAAGTTTCCCAGGACAGTGAGCTGATTTAATACCTTTTGAAAGGGTCAGTCTTTCATCTCTCGACCTTCTAAGCCACGTGATCTTGCAGCTCACGTTGCTGTGTGAGCTCTGATTAATTCAAATTTGTAAATTCAGAGGGAGCTCACCTGGCAGAAGGAGACTCGTGTTTTTATGCAGAGTGAATTTACTGTAGATACAACTTCCTGAACCAGCTCCTAGGCAAGCTTTGGTAGTGATTGAAAAGAGAGTGCTTTGGAAGACAAAACCAGGATGACCACAGTGCTAGTTTAGATTGGCCCAAGCTGTCATCGTGTGGAAGTCACTGGTCTGTACACAGTAGGATTCAGTGTTTTAAACACCAGTGAGTGTGATCTGAATGGCCATAGTAAACGTAAAACGTATCAGAGGTTGAATTAGTAGAATAATAATAATGGAATTCGTATTTATTTAACTAGATACTGATTTGCTTTAATTGGTTTGTTAAACTTGACATGCATGTCAACAAAAACCATGCCAGCACCATTCTAAGGGCGAGAATAACAACCACCCACTCCAAGCCCTCACAGGTACGTATTTTTTTTTCAGTGAAGAGTGATGTGGGATTGTAAGGAAGCCTTGAGGCTTGCCTGTAGGCCAACAATGCTTTGTTGCATTCCCAACCTAATCTATGAATTAATGGAAGAACTTTATGCTAGTTGAATATGTAGTTTTGCATAGAAAGTAAAATGATAGTATATGTCATCTGCTTAGTACAAGAGCTGGCCATATTATTGGCTTGCTAAAATTAATCTTTCTGGACTTCTGTTATTTGGATTGAGCCGTGTTTCTCTGTTAGGTCAGTGCAGTGTTTCTGCAGCAGCAAAGTCACAACCCAGAATTTTAAAACTGTTGTTACACTCTGTGTAAGGTAGAAAAAGTGCAACTGGTGAGATACTGGGGCCAATGTTTCTTCTTGTAACATTAATCTTGTTCAGAATTTTGCTTTGTGTGTTTTAGAAAGGATGTAGATGAGGAAATTGACTCCATATAGACAAACCCTTAAGGGAAGCATACAGGCGTTCTTGGTTTGTTTGGGTTTTTTGGTGGTCTGAGAAGCCTATGCAGGAGATCAATCAGTGGTATTGTATAACTTGACACTTGTCCTGGGGAAGCTGATAAGCTGCAGGTTTGTAACCTAACTTGCTCTGCTACAGTTTGTTTATACAGCTCGTGGGAGGCCGTGTCTAAAGAAAGTTGTAGGAAAAGAAGTTAAATTACTTTAAAACCAATTAGTCTCTTCATGAACATTCTTGTTTTGGTATAAGCAGTTTAATTTTAACTGCTATAAATCAATTCCAGTTCAGTTTAAGCTAAGCTGGAACATGCATTGTTTAATCTGTTAACACAGCTTTCGAATTGGTTTAAGTAAGGTGGTGGTTTCAAAGCAGCCTAAGCTGGTCAGACTGCTTGATGCAGCAGTTTCATCCACTTCCTTCCACAACTCAGCTGAAAGGAAACTAACTGAACTGTAAAACATGAATAGTTTTCTACTAGCTCAGTGTGCTGAAATGGCTTGGTAGGCTGCCAGAACTGGTGTAAGAGAGAGGGCAGGGATATACCAGTTGGGTGCAGGAACTGTCAGCTAGCATTTGGCTGTAATGAAACTAGAGCTTAAAACCATGGCTGACTCTTCTTGCGTTCACTTTATAATGGGATATGTGAGAGTGAGTCTGCAGCTGTAGACAGAGCTGTGCAGCCCTATGTGTTCATCTTAAGCTGCGTTTTTCTGCCCCTCTCCTTAAGCTGGCACTGGTGCTTATGCTGTTGCATAGTAAGCGATGTCAAGCAGCTGATCTAGCTGAAAATTGATCATTTTGTATAGTATTAGTTTTTGCCTGGACCATGAACTGATTAACCCTATTATTACACAAAAGTCTCTGCAAAAAGTTGTGGGGACAGGCGTCTGGTGAGGTGAGGAAGGGAAGTAGAGGAGAGTTACCGTAAGAGTTATAATTTATATCTGCTTGTAAGCTGTGCATGTGCAGCTTTACTAAAGACAACGTTGTGAAATACACTACTGTCTTGGTCAGAACAAGAAGGCATAAGGCATCTGAGAACTGGAAATGGGAAATGACAGCTTAAAGAAAATAAAAGGAGTCCAAAATGACAAAATGGAGTCAGCAGGAGATTGCTATTTAGCAAAAGAGAAAGCCCATGGATTAGATTATTATGCATATGATATACTAACATGTCTGACAGAAACATCTTGTTATATTTCTGTTCCAGCCCTGTGGCCTACTTTTTACTTGTTTATGAAATATTTCAAGACAGGGCTTGTAAGGCTTTCTGGAGAATTTTCTGAGTATTTCCAGGTGTGGTTCCAAAGCAACATAACCACCGTAATTGTTGGTGCAGTTCTGTCTTCACTTGCACTTGTTCGCTTTGGACAGCAGTGAACTCTCCACTGGGCTTTTTCATTCTATTAATCTAGAAGATTTTTTGTTTGTTTATTTGTTTTATTTTTGTTGCTGTTGTTTCTGGTTGTGTTTGGGTGGGTGTTTGTTTTTTTTTTTAATTTCTTGGCTTAGTTTTCTGCTAGTTTATCTTACCTGCCAACAGTAGTTAGCTGCAGTCACTGATGGACTTCCATGTACGTTTCATATGTTTCAGATAGTACTGTAACCATTGCCTGCCTAGTGGCTAGTCAAAAGTTCCTTTGCATCCATGCTGGCTCTTAGCCAGCCCTCTCTGAGTCAGTTAAGGACTTGGGTGTAGAAGTAGTTTTCTACCTGCTTATCTCCCTGAGCCAGATTACTAGGGAGTTGGGCAGATGTCATTGCTAGGAGCAGACTTGCCCCCATCAGTGACGGCTAGTCGTTAGATGGTCTTAGCTTGTCATAAAATCATATAGTGAGACACTAGTGCTTAATGGTGAGAATTCTGACTTTTACAGCTTTTGCATTGCTGCAAGTTTGTGTTGAAGGCTTTGGTCTTAGGGGCTTCCCTCAGTGGTGAAAGGTTCGGATATTTTGAATATAAATGCAAAATTACTAGTAAAATGGAATTTCCAAACACATTAAATATTTTGTAACAGTTTCATAATAGTACATTGTGTATCAACTTTCTGTGGAGTGATACCAGGTATGTAACCACATAGATGTGAGATTCTCACTCCAATGTGAAATGTAATTCGAGAATCCTCCAGTGAGTAGTAGCACAGCCTGAGGCTTTTATCTTCGTAGTTACTAATCAACAGGGGG